TTTTCTCAATGGACTCAGCGTACTCCTCCTGAAATTGGGTCTCCTGTGTGCCCAGAAGGTTCCGTGGTCAGTGTCCTGTGGAAGAATCGGTCCCCTGATGTGAGAGAACATCGTCAGTGCAGGAAGGACAGGATCAAGTGGAATGGAGGGAGGGTGGCTGTTCCACAGGTCAGTGTCTGGGAATGAGACAGCAGGTTTTGTTGTCAAGATTTTCACACAGTCTCAGTTGGAGCTGGGAATGTAGCTCAGGGGAATCTCGCCTGCCTGACAAATATTCTAAATAGCTCTTTCTTTCAGGAAATGCTTTTGCATTAGCTGGGCTTTCCACAAGAGGTGGGACAAGATACCTATGTTGGAATGGAACCCTGAGATCACAGCCTATTAGAAATGAAAAGAGACTTCAGTATGTTTTTCGTTTGTTTGCTTGTTTTTGGTCTTTTTGAGACAAGGTCTCCCTATGCAGTTCAGGCTGGCCTTGAGCTCACTTTGTAGCCCAGGCTGGTCTCCAACTCGCAACGATCCTTCTGCCTCAGCCTCCCAAGTGCTGGGATTAAAGGCATGTGCCACCGCGCCCGGTTTAGAACACTATTTAAAAAATAGATAGCTTTGCTTACTTTGCCTGAATCCGCTCACTTGAGTTTGCACAAATGTCACAGATGAGGAACTCAGCCTTGTGCCTTGGTTCCCTGAGTGTTGACCTCCCACAACCAAAGGCTCAGCAGGACAGGGCGTCTTTCAGGGAGGCCAGGCCCGGGGTGGCCCTGCCGGTGGACTGGGCTCTCGGCCTGTGGGATCCAAGGGGAGGCTCGGGCAGAGGGATGTGGCTTCCCACTCTTCAAGACGCCTGCTCAAGCCCAGTGTGGCCGCCGGGTTCTCACTCTCTGACTGACCCAGAGTGAAGTCCTTTCTACACGGCCTCCAGTCTGGGGCTCTGCCCCGCCCACTCAGGAGCACCCCGGACATCTTGGCATCTTGTTCCTTCCCTCTCTGCAGCCTTTAGCGACAGCTGACACGTCCCACGGGCCAGGAGCCAGGCTGGGCACTTGACACACTACACGTTTAATCCTTTCCAGCCTTTGCGAACACCCTGCCCCATAGGATTCTGTGCTTTTCCCACTTCACAGAATAAAACGGGAAGAAAGTGGCTCACAAAGAGGTAAAGTAACTTGCCCTGCGTCACAAAACTAGTAAACTAGTATTTTTTTTTTTTTTTTTTTTGTCTTTTTGAGACAGGTCAGTGCGCAGTTTAGGCTGGCCTTGAGCTCACTTTGTAGCTCAGGCTGGTTATGTACTCACAAAGGTCCTCCTGCCTCAGCCTCCCAAGTGCTGGGATTACAGGCATGCTCCATCACGCCCAGCAAACCTAGTACACTAATAATCCGCTTATGTCCGCCTCCCCATCCCTGACACTATGATCAGGGAAGGTAGAAGCCACATCACACCTGTCTTTATGTGGCTGGTTTCTAACTCCGGACCTGGGTCAGCTGTTTCCAAGGCGCCTGAAATCTCTTTCGGTTGCTGGTCTGTGAAATAGAGATACGTTGCTGCCACCTGCTGGTCAGAAGCCAGCGCGACGTGTGCAGTCGGCCTGTGAGCTGGGTGAGGGCCAAACTCCAGGTTGCAGGAGCGCTGGAATGTGGGGGGCACTGCAGTGACTTATCGTGAGCTCTGTTTTTGAGGCAGGGTCTTGCTCTGCACTTCAGGCTGGCCTTGAACTCACTGTGTGGCCCAGGCTGGCCTCAGATTTGCAGTGATCCCCCTGCCTCAGCCTCCCACGAGCTGGGATCACAGGTGAGCAGCACCACTCATGGGAATCTGAAGTTATACTTCAGGGACACCCTGCAGTTAGTTCTGAGCCCTGATTCCATTGTTCCCCTGGGCTCTAGAGTCTCCTCTTCCCCCTCCCAAGCAAGAAGCAAGGGCAGGAGGGCAAAATCTGTCTCCAACTCCTCCCCGAGCCCTCTGCTCCACCCACAGCTCCCCGTTCTGTTCTCAGCATGCAGCCGCTCCTCTGCCACCTGCCTGACCTTTCCAGAGCTCCACCCCAGCTGAGGAGAGCAGAGCACATGTGTGCCCAGCCAGTTACACTGCCCGGCAGAAAGCCAAGGGGCCCAGCTCCAGTGTAGCCTGGGGACCTGCTTCAGAATCACCAGGTCTTGTCGCTCCACCCTGACTTCTTCTTTTTGAGGCAGGGTCTTGCTATGTAACTGAGCCTGTCCTTGAACTCAACTTTGTAGCCCAGGCTGGTTTTGAACACGCAACAATTCTCCTGCCTCAGCCTCCCAAGTGCTGGGATTACAGGCATGTGCCACCGCTCCCAACCCCACCCAGATCTTTGGAACCTCTAGAATCTGCATTTTTAACAAAGTCTCTGGGTGCTTTATAATGCCCATAAACAATTCAATATGCCTGGGTAATTTTTTTCTTGAAACTGTCTATCTTTTATATCACCTTATTTTGAAAAATTTCAAACCCAGAGAAAAGTTGAAAGAATGCCAACATGAACACCAATGTCATCAGCACTGTTTTGTCCTAGTTCCTCTGAAAGCGTCAGACAGCGTGGGGCTTAAATGCTTCAGCACCCACCTCCGAAAAGCCGTGGCATTTTCCTATGTAATTCCTTTACTCTTAGCCCGTTTAGGTTCAATATAATCACATTGCTGAATCCCCAAAGGCTAGTCGTTCCAGTAGTTTTTCGTAGTGAATTCCTCCCATCCTGACGTACTCAGCTGTCGCCTGGGCAGAGGGAGGAGCCGGGAAGCCAGGTGAGGCTGTGATGAGCTCAGCGTGCTCCCCGCTGGGGAAGCGTTGGTGAGGACAGAGCCAGTGACAGTGACAGAGGAAAGCACAACGGTGCGGTTAGAGTTGGCAGGGCTTCCGAAATCACAGAATTCCCTCCTCCTCCTCCTCCTCTTCCACCAAAGTTGGGCTGCCATGGCTGGGCTCCAATCCTGGCTCAAGGTATCCTCCTGCCTCAGCCTCCTGGGTAGCCTGGACTACAGGCATGTGTCACTGCACTGGGCCACAGTAGACAGTTTTAA